GGTTCCTGAAGCTCAGCTTGAAGTGGAGCCGATGGTTCCCCTTCCATTCCTGCTGATCATAGCGGAGCAGAACCGGTTCTAACCCTAAAGGCAGTAGGTTGGTGCCTGAGGTTCTGCTCACTGGGTCTGTGGTTCTGGAAGAGACACATTAGACCCAAATGGACCCAAACTGGATGAAATCATCTAAAATTCTTCTCCGTTTCCCTCAAGTCCAAGTCCTGGTCTTGATTTAGATCCAGGTCCGGTTTCCGGTCCAGTTTTCAAATCACTCAGAAAAGGTTCTGCTTATTGAACAAACTGGAGTTTTTATTAAATCATCAAAGTTTCTGTGAAATCGAACAGAACAAAGCAAAGTGATTCTGGAAACGCTCCACCGTGGGTTTGGACCTGCACTGGTTCTGGAGGCTTTGTTCAGTCCAACCGTAGAACCAGGATCCAGAGTTCCAGGAACCTCAGCCGCTCCCATCAGCGGTCAGAGGCCGTCATCCAGCGGCGCCATCAGCAGCTGCAGCTCCTTGAAGCTGCTGCCATGGCGACCGACCTGCCCCGCCCTGCTCTTCACCAGGTTGCCCAGGTTCTTCAGGTAGCGGCAGCACTCCCGGCACTTCTGGTGTCTGCAAAGAGGAGGTCAGGGGTCAGAGGTGAACACGGAGCCCAACTTCCTGAGAACCGGGCAGGATGCTGCCCCCCGCTGGCCGCGCTCACCGCTCCTCCCGCGTGATGTCGACTCCGACGGCAGGCGGAGCCTTCAGCGTCTCTGAGATCAGCGTCCAGAAGTGCTTCATGATGAGCTTCAGGGACGTGGAGCCGGTCTGCATGTAGCTGAGGAGGAAACAGAAGCCAAGGTCAGGTTCTGACTCCCAGTCAGGGGGTTCTGGTTTGGACCGGTTCTGATGGGATCTCACCTCTCATATTTACTCTGCAGCAGCTTATCGATCTGAGGGAGGATCATGGTGCACAGGTCCAGCTTCCACAAGGAGCTGAAAAAACAACCCAATCAATTCACAGAAACACAGAAAGCTGG